CCACTTATTGCAAAATACTCAGAAAAAGGTGTTCTGCTAAGCTGGTTGGAACCCACAAAAATAAATTAGAATCATAGCAATGGTCTACACACAGGCAGCATAAAAACGGTATGCCCAAAGGAGCACTTAACATGAAGGGAATTAGGAATTGCTGAATAAAATACGCACCTGGAGTATACGAATGACTCAAAGAGGGTAGTAGATGATAAGCAGCAGTAAACACGCAACTGATCATATACTTCTGAAGGTTTTTGAATTGCTACTTATTATATATATATATATATATATATATAGTGTGTGTGTGTGTACGTGTGAATAATTCAGTTTAGAGACAGAAATCTGTAAAAGTGACAGTTATCTCTACCTCCCCCCCCCGCATAAATTCTGTCCCATCCTGATAGTTAGTTATTATTAAGCGCAAGTAATTCGTCCTCAACTGTATTTGAAAGTCTTTAGACTTGCTCAAAGTTAGCTATTTTCCTGGAATTGTTCGTCAGATTATCTTTTCATTTGGCAGCTATGAAACGCTCCATGTACTGTCCCCATTAAGGGAAAAAGCGAAGAATACATTCATTTCAATTAATTGACCAATGACTCGCTTGTAAGCTGGAGAAACTCACCTTTTGATGAAGATAAGTTTAGCGCGATATAAGCTGTTTTCTCATAAAGAGCATTGTGACGATAAATTTATTCCATTTGAAGTAGAACACGTAACATTACTACAAAGCCTGTATGACAAACTCAAAAATATTCATTCTAAAATATGAAATCCAAATCCCGTAAAAACTTAACTGATTAAAACCTTTTGATCGAAGATGAACATACAAGCATTGACGGTTTTTGAAAATATATATTCATCCTGATACAAGATTTTCTCTGGACACAAATATCACCGAATTCCCGGAACGTGTAACTTGTTATTGTTATATGAATTTCATCTTCAGATAAAATAATCATTGCGATGTCTTTAACAATAGTAGGCCTCAATTTTAGAATGTGAATGAAGACAGGACTAACATACCAAAAAGGTTTGTTTACTCTAGCCTAGTGAACATCGCCAGTGTATTCATTATGGAAACCGTGATCACATGGCCAATCTATTGGTTCCAGACTGAGGGGTTTTGCAAACCATGGCAACAAACGTTCCGCTGATGATTATCACTAACGGAACGAGTAAACATCATCAACCTTTTGTTCAGTGTAGTTCGAGGATGGCACTGAGAAACGGGCTAGAGGACTACGATGCAATGCAAGTGATTGGAAGCGAACTATTTGTCTTGATGGAAACGCCATAATCTATTTGGTAGCGCTGATCATCACCGAACGCCGTAATCTAACAATCGATAATGCTGCTCAGAATGACGACAGACCACTTCATCTACTGCTCGCCGGTGGAATCATTACACATGCACGGTTGCCAATGGAAACCAAACAAATGTAGTTTTACTGCACATTTTCGCAAGTTTGGTTCACCATTTACTCAGGCAAAATGTCCATGTTTTTAAATCAGGTTCGTCAGTAACTTTTACGCAAACACCAACCATTTGGCAGGTATATCAGTACGCATGATGAAAGACCACATGAATGTGAGACCGGAACAGGTCCCGATTATACCGATTGACATGCTGAGCCATACATATTCACATGCTGAAACAATTTACCTAGAATAGATGTTAGATGAGAAACAAAAACAGAAAAAGTATCCGATTAAATCGGTCAATAACGGGAATCCTACATATGAGATTCCTTTCAGAAGCAATGTTATCTCATGGTAAAAAATAAGGACCTTTAAAAGCACGGTGGTCTGATCAGAAAAACTTCAATAATCAAACACTAGTGAGCTATCACGTTTCGGTTGAACATATACGGATGAACAGAAATAAGAACCGGTTGGATAGTGTGAGAAGCGTCTTTTAACTTCCACCCAATCCGATAGACAACCAGCTCCCCATTGAGTGGTCGAATTACGATCCTTAGTGTGATTCAGGAACACATCAGCGCCAGTCCATTTGAAGCGTAGGCAGACCCTTGGTCCTGATATCATCCAGAGTTCGCCAACCCAAGCTAAATCAGGTTAGATTGCCAATCTCAAAATCACACGATAGATCGACGTTGCTATGGTGTCTGCCCCCACTCTCTGCTAATTACCACAATGAGTGGGTAATTTAAAAAAGGATGTGATTGTTCATTAGCATTAGGATTGGCGAGACAAACCACAACAACGGTAATAAGGTTTTGTATGTCTAAGTGGAAACCATCGGTGATATTGTCGCTCAGAAATAAGCATGACTTGCTTCCACATCCGAGTCGTCCTAAAGGATGACCAGGGGAACAACATAGTTTGGCGAACTCAACAATCGTGACGCTGTGAAACAAACAGCTTTGAAGGACGAAGCAGAATATCAAGAAACCGTTCACAAAACATGATGACCGTCGTCCAGGATTGATGCTTTCATAATAGGTTACTCATCGTGATAGGTATTCCGTAAGTTGGGAATACTGTTCCCAATCAGATATGGTAGGTTGCGCAAGCCCTAATTTCAGGATAAGTAGATGGCTGGGAGCAAATCCAGAGTAGCGGGATCTGGATAGAAGTCTGGACGTCTTTTAGAATTTTCGAACCCAATTCGGTGGCCTTCTTACTGTTTGTTTTTCGCTATTTCTTTCCCGCCTGTCTCTTAAGGTTGCAAGAAACATTTCACATTGAAACGGATTGATGTCAGACAGAACCTGTTGAAAAGGCATAACATTTCAACAACAATTAGACTGAGACAAACAACGAAAAAACTAATTAGAGAAATATACGGCTACAACTCCAAACTGTTGTCTGAAATGGGGGCATTTCCTTTTTTACTAGTACCCCTCCCCCAATTCACTATGCCATGGAAACGAGGAGAATCAAGGGAAATGTGGCTCTGTTTGAAGAAATCGCTTACAATCCGATCTGTTGTTCACAATATCCGGCAGACAAATGAAAATGCACGTCTGGATTTCTCACTTCGTACAAACACCCGTCAAGTCTGCAGGTCGTGAGAGAACCAAAACCTGTCAATCTGTGAATTACACTGTTCCAAACACTTCATTTTTTTTAAAGAGCCACTTGTCATCATTGGAAAACCTGCTAGATTTTTGAATAATGAAAACAATTGAATTACGACCACTGGAAGTCCTCAAGGAAGCCATGAGAACACACAGCTCAGTACGGTCCCTTCGGTCTCCTAGTTGTTGTTGTTGAGGGAAACAAACTGTCGGTCAAGGTAGCTAAGGACACCGGAAAATAATTCGAGTGATGCAGAAATAATTCTACACAAGTTTAACGGAAAGATAAATGAGGTGAATCCGAAATATAATTACAACATAACCGGTACAAATAAGACACTGATTGTGTCAACAGGTCCAGAAGCAGAATGACAACGACGGCAATAACAACAACACGGCCACCACAAGCGGCGGCAGAAACAACAACAACAACAGTAACAAAAGGTGAGTTATGTACCGCAGTTGGTGAAAAGCACCACAAGCGAATAATCATCTATTGCGCACTATGAGGACAGTGTCTAAGCGAGACATTTGACTTGCACAGTTCCATTCACTTTATACAGTTAACATTCCCACTGATTGTAGAAATAACAGGATTGAAAAGGTGTAAAAGAGGGTAAAGATATAGTATGTGTTAAAACCAGGTGTCTCGATAAACTGCACACAACAACGCAATCTACAGAAATCAGGCACCCGGTCAAAAACGCGACCGTGATTGCCCGAGACTATCTAACTTACACAGTACTCGTACAGTTGGTTCGACACTCACGGTCCGTAGACAGTGCCGATCGAACACCAATATTCTGTCTTTCTCCTTCTCGTTATGGTTCGGTGTCAAGGGAATTGGCAGATTGGGCTACTGCGGAATATACACGCAATCCTCTTTCTCTCTTATTAACAAATATATAAACACGTAACCTACTTTCACTGGTAGATGGCTTTATAAGGTTACAGACTGTCGAAGCTGATTCTACTGTTACGACTTCAAGGACAATCAGGAGACTGCTTCACTCATGGACGACGAATGGCACACCACACACAACTGACAGACCGACTCCGAATCACGAATCTATCTCAATCCCCCTAAAAGCTGTTCGATTAACGGACACCGAAAAATTTTGCTCTCCCCAAGCATGAATTGAATGAACGTTTCAGAAAACGACAAAACGTCTGCAATTCATTACATAATTACTAGTGATGCAACGATGAACAACCCGTGGAGGGCGAATGAACTATCGCGGAATAAATAGCGGCTTTTATCTGTACTATGCATCTGAAGAGAGACAGAGCAGAATTGTTCTGGAATTGAACGAGCAGTGCCACTTACTGATATCGCGAATTTTTCATTTCAAATCCAGTCAGTCGATGCCAGAGACCTGAGATCGACCAGCTCCGTAAGTCCTGGTTACTTATAGCATCGGGACGACTAACCTACAGAAATCTATTATACTAAGACCGGCCTGAGGACCATGAATGACGATAGTCACGTCATACTTCCCATAGCCGACTGAGTCAATCGAGTAGCACACAAAACGTAATGGGATAAAATAATGAATATACTCAGTTCGAGATGAAAACGATATAGGTCATCAAGCTAGCACATGTCCCAAACAAGCACACAACGAAAGAAAGATCAGTGTAACAGGACAGGCAGAACAAATGGATGGATGGATGGGAAGCGAAAAGCAAGGTCACAATCGTGTCGAGGGCAAGGCTGAAACAATACACTGGCAAGGAGTTCCGTGAGTTAAGATATTCAGGACTGAAAATGAAAAATATTTGTACAGGAGAGAGAAGCAACTAATTTCAACTCACGGACAGGGATTTATGAATGTCTGGGTGTCTGTGTGCAAATGTGGATTGAAATGGATGTGATTGCCAAACAAGACTGATCCAGATGAACAGCCAAATTTCAACGGGAATGTCTTAATTCCAAATGTCGTTTGTAGTATAGGACCTGCTTAAGCTTCTGTTTCCAGGTTCTGATTGAACCGGAACGAGTAAAGACTAAATCCCGATATAAAATACGCCATTGGGGGATAGGAGGCCTTCACGTGGTGATTTGTGCAAATTAGATTGATCGGCTTCGACTTGGGGCGTGTGATACGATGCAATGTTGGTTTTTCGCAATTATCTCGCCAAGTGATATAGGATAGGGTTCCCGTGGTGGCATCTACAACCAGCAGGCGATCTGCATCAAACGTGGCAATCCGACCCGGGTTCAAATCAGCAAAATCCCAGGAAACCACATGCAACCATTCTCGAGGGCTTCGCTTGTCCACCCCCTCTAACTGACGACCAGGGAAAGCAAAAAGTCGCCGGGAGACAGTGGGTTTTGTGGCAGTATTATTAGAAGTTGGATCCACTCGTGAATTTCTTTGAACTGAGGCCCAACAACAACGCCCCGCGGATTCCTGTGACACGTAATCGGGACGGTATATAGCAACGTCATTGCCCATGGTGACTGAGAATACACGTCGTTCAAACCCTGGAGTAAGTTTACATAATTGACCAGCCGAAATTTCAATTGCTCCTTTCTTCACACCGTTACCATTGATACTAGGTTCACTCGAAAGTGTCGGACAGGCTAGGAGTAATTTCCCATCAGTAGAGTCCACCGCGAGTCCCGAGTAACGCTGATAAGGATAGATACGCGTACGAGCTAGATACTGCCCACTGAGGGAAAACTTAGCCAATACCCACTGTTTCGTTGGACTGGAAGTGTGGGACTTATCTGCATTGGTGGATAAAATCCATCCCACAACGTACAACACTCTAGTTTCTGTGGTAGGTGCATGCACACACAACTCTTGTGGCACAAGATCACCAACACCGGGAATGGTAAGGCGAATAAATCCTTTGATCGGATTTTTGTCAGCGGGTGCCTGATTCTCCGATTCATCAATCATTTCCAAGGAATCTGCCTCGGGTGTTTTGAGTAGAAACACATAAGGGACTCCATCTAAACAGAGGTAAATTGTGTGACTGTCGGCAGCAATCGCGATTGCTTTTGGCGATTCATCTTTTGACAAAAACGAGGATGCCTGCGCTTCACTGCTGATGCATTTCGCCAGGATATCTCCACTGTAAACGAGACGGATCACATATAAATCATCCGCTTTGTTTGTCGAATGATCAGGTTTATTATCCACACCAGAGAGTAGTTCGGTATGTTCATCCACCTCTGCTTCCGCCTGAGAATTTCCGTTCGAGGTGGAAGGCACATACATGCTCACAATATTGTTCAGCCTACTTCGTAAGGCGCTTCCAAAAGGACGTCGTTTCACTCTGGCGGCAGCATTCTCATCCATAGTGTCACCGTTGGCCTCAGAGGTTTCGGCAGTCTCGGGCAGCTGCATACTAATCCTCCGATTTGAATCGGTAAACAAACAACGCACAACCAGCAGCCGAGTATCGCGATGCCAGCCTGTGTGCCAGTATTGTGACGCACCTGGCAGTGCTGAACAGAGACAAAACGAGGTGCTTGCTGATTGGTTCATTCAGGATACCTAAGCTGTAGGTGGATTTACCAAACCGATAACCAATCAGCGATTAGGTTTGTACTCAAGGCCACCTGATAGCCAATGGGCGATGAATCATAGGGTTTCACCGGTCAGTTGACGTGCAGACATGGTGGAGTAGGCTACACAGCTGACATAAGCGCTACACGTGCGCGTCGCTTGATGTAAATGGGATGTCTTGATTGCCTGGCGGAATTTTGGCTATATGGCGCGGGCCCCTCTCTGGTGCAAAATATCATAGAGATGAGCGTTCGAGTGAAAGCTCTGACTTATCAACTACCGCTTATTAATCCGTTTTATTGCCTTCTGCTGATTAGGCGAAGGTACAGTCATTTTTCAAGGAATGAGAAGCGGCCAATTAGGGCCCACGAAGTGAAAAAGAGAGAGGTCTGTGTCGGGATTCAAACACATGAAATTCGATGCGAATTGAAGATGGCCTATTCCACTCGATCTCATTCTCCAAAAATACTTTAATGAACATATTTATGGTGATTAATCAATACCGCCATTGTGTCGAAGTTCACTATAAATTAGAGTTCTCCCTTCGTTCTGTATTTCTATTCCGATCCGGTTTTCAGGAAGACTGCATGGTAGAATTGCTTCATACCTTTTAGCCTTACTTTGCTTATTCATTTCTCATTTGTTTTAAGTGCTAAAGTAATCCAGAAGGAAGAATACCCACTTTCAGTGATCTAAACTCGTAAGTAGGAATCACAGATTCCATCGCATCATTCAACTGTGGTCTTTTCCAACAAAATAGATGAACCGTTTTGTCGATCGATGCCTTCGGTTCGTTGACTCTACTAAGGAATAACCAATCAAACACACGGAATGCATATGCATCAATGGCTTGCATTGGAGGGAAGAAGATTAAATTAAATGGGTTATTAGTAAACATAGATTCTTCTCCGAAGAAACACGGAAAATCAGTTTAGAAGCAAATACCCATTTTCCAAAGTTTGATATATTCGCTTTGGTATTCAGCATATATGAGTTCAAACGGAATAGACAAAGGTGCGTACATTTGGCAAAAAAAATATTGAGCTCACTTGTAAAAAGTGTCTCGTAGTGCGACGTTATTTATTAGGATCGGAAACTAACGTTCCTTAGACGCTAAGGCTAATACGAATGTATTTAGAGAGACTCATATCTCGTTGAAGAAACTGCGGTTTCGAACCCATGACCATCATTTTCCTGGATGCTTTACATCTTTCATATTTTCCTCTACCGTAATACGACTGAATATCACAAGTAGATACAGACTTAATGATCAACCGAAAGTTCGCCACAGTCTGACAGCACATCCTGTATGCTATCTTTCATCCACTGGTGAATACAAATGTTTGTATGTGTTCCAGCTGATGTAAGAAAATAGGATTTTTTCTGTGCTTGATGCACGATAACGGCAGTTAGATGCAAGAACTTGGAGTAAAATGGAAATCTTGTTTTGATTATACGGCATGGAAGCACAACAGTTGTATTTGTAATTACTACTGCTGTAGGCGTAAAGCCTACGTTTGAATTAAAAATTTACGAATTGGAGATGGGGAGAGAAAGAACTGAAATCCCAAAACTTTAAAAAAGTTCGTGAAAACCTATCCTTTTCTAACGAGAATGCGTGCTTATTAGGGTACCGTAGGAATAAGATACATATTTAGTCCAGAGGGAACACACCGATATTGAGATCTATTTGACGGATAGGAACTACAGAAAATTCAGTCGGTGTATAGTGAATGTGTGGGGTCGATAGAAATCATATATGCAATTTTTTCACATACGTTCAAATGACTTCCGCACAGGTTAGTTACCAACTCCCCCAGCGGGGTTGAAGAGACGCGACTAATGATGCTCAGTCCACGTCGAAACAGTTTCACGTTTTTCTTTAAGATGTTGGAGAAACGACAGGTGAACAACAAATTAAAACGGATAAAACACGAATTTGGAGATAATCGATTGTTGAATACGAAACTGACGAAATTTACAGCCAAGAAAAGAAAGTTTTCGAAGCTTACTGACGATACTTTGAATGTGAGACGTTCAATGAACATAAGCATCGATAAAAATCCCCGGGTATTTAATACAGCTTAGCCGGGATACTGATTCAGCACCAATCGATACCCGTTCAGATGGGAAAGAAGAGCGTGATAATATAAAGAGACATTCAAAACATTTAGAGGGATTAAGAGAGAGGCCGAACGTGGCGAGAAAAAGGTTGAACGTTTTTCGAAATGTGAAAAAAGTGTGAAAGATCAGAAAAATAGGAGATAAACTGACATGAAACCATATCTTCAGTGTATTTGAAGAGAGAATTAGGAACTCTAACCAAAAAAGTTGCTGATGTACGTGGAAAGTAGATATGGGAAAAAGACTGCACTTTGAAGTACCCCAGAATTGTTCACCAATGGTTTGTAATTCCTCCGATCTGGCCTGGTAAATTGAGTTTTCCTGGAGAGGTACTCAGCTAGCCAAGTGTGAGATGCTTGGCTCGTTTGTGCGGCAGGATGACCCCCGTTAACGGATACACCAAACAACCGCAAACAACCGTCGAGTCTAGGTGCGAGCTGGAACCGTTGACACAGTATGTTCTCCTTAGAGAGAGCGAATGCAAAGGGAAAATGCAGACACCTTGAACCAAAAGGTCCAGTGGGACATGAACACGACTCACACTCAAACGGTACGGCAAGTTGCCAGGGTCGTTACACAAGCTAATAACGATCTGGCACGGTCTCTAGCTCACTAAGAAGAGGGGGTCGAGGAACACAATTAAAAGCAGATGAACAGTTTAGAAACACAACGAACTTTCCTCATTTGTGTATTGTATGGCAGCCTTTTGACTGGCCGCTTTCCCCTTCCTGAAAATTGTATCTTTGTATATTCAATAAAAGGAAGTAAAATGAAAAAGAAAAAAGAAAGAAAAAGAACAGATTTTGCGACCTGTTCAAGGATTTGGTAATTTTTATGTAAAAATAAGGAAACGGCATCTAGTGAGTATCTGTTTGGTTTGTAGGCAAACTGAAGAGGATCATACGGGACATCAAATGAGGATGGAATGCGCGTAGGGGCAACAAATTCTGCTAGTTGTAGGCCAACAGAAGCTAAAGTGATAAGACGGAAGCATTCGGTAAGTACGGATAAATTAGAGGATTTAGGAATGGGAACAATTTTTACGGGTTTCCAACAGTTTGGTATAGTATAGGCGTTTAAGTAAGTGTTTAAAATGAAATTAACATTTCACTGTCAGAATAGCCTCCATGTCTCAGAAGAAAAGATGAAAGGCCATCGGGATCAACACTGGAAGTGGTTTTCATGGCACGCAAAAGCTCTAAAGTCTCACCTTTCGAGACAGCCTCTACTTGAACCGCATCATCCAGAACAAATGGCATGATGGCATAGCTTGATTAGTGGATAAATGCTGTGTTAACACTGTTCAAATCCGCTGTACAATCCGGAGCTTTGGCTTTGATCCCACACAATAATTTGATACCTTGCCAAATTCGCTTACTATTGTTACATCGTAGAAGCTAGGAGGCGTACAACACTAAAAGAAGTTTGACTTCAGTTTTTATTAGACTGTGTAATAGTTGAGAGCCGCTGAGTCTATAGATTTGCAAGATCGTCCCTTCTATCTTTTAAATGATTTCAACAGTGGAGATACTTTTCTGCCATTACAGACAAATATATTTTCAAAGGGTCCGCTACAATAAGTAAGGGAGTACAGGAAGAAGACCACGAAGAAACGACAATAATGGAAGCAGAAGAAGAGTGTTTCTGGGGGTGAGATTGCCAAAGTGGATTATGCTTTTTTGGTTCTTGAGAGGGTACTGTGCATAGGACGAGAGAACACCGTGAGTTTTATGAGAGTCAAGGCGTGATCACTAGTTAAAACAAGAGCTGTGAGTTTTAAGAAAAAATGTTTCAGGTGATTCGTAATTACCTTGTCTAAAAATGAATCACTCTTTGTGGGGAACGGAAAAATATCAGTTCGGCCAAAAGAGGTTATTGGACAAGTGAATAGGTAATTCGAGTCAGCAACAACAATGTGGAGATTGTGGTCGTTCTGGGGAACGAAGGGAAGTATAAACACATCAAAGCAGGATGAAATGTGAAACTGGGGGCTTTGTATAAATTGATAATTATTGTGCTCGTATATCGCGAAAATCCAGGGGAACATTGAATAGGTAAACGGTCGATGCGATCGGCGGAATAATGAAAAAGAACTTCAGACTTGCTACTCCAAAAAGAGTTGATCTAAGTGATCGATCCGCCTCCTCTTTTCTTCTTACAATGCTTTCTGTCCA